ACATATATTTCACATATTATAGGCCAACAAATTATTTACAGCAGTTAGCAATAAGCAATAAGCATATTGTGACAGTCAGTCTATTTTTATATACTGCTTATTAGGACACTCTTCTTTTCTTTTTAATTTAACATGCACTTGGGAGGATTTTGTACAGCTGTTTAACTACTTCCTGTCACTGTGAGTGTCGAGCACAGTAATAAACAGCAAAGTCTTCAGTCTTCAGACTGTTTATCTGCAGATACAGCTGCTGTTTGCTGTTGTCTCTGGAGATGGTGAACCGGCCTCGAAATGACTGAGAATAGTAGATGTTGCTACTGTCATAATTGCTTGCAATCCACTCCAGTCCTTTTCCAGGAGCCTGTCTGACCCAGGCCATCCAGTAGCTACTGAATGTGAATCCAGAGGCTGTACAGGTCAGTGTGTGGGATTCTCCAGGCCTTTTAATTACTGATTCAGACTCAGTCAGAGTCTGACCATCAACACCTGTAAAATCAAAAAGACAATAATCTTTTAAGACAGGCTTTTAGTTCGAAAGCTCTGACTGTATTAACACAAAAAAAGTTCTTGACCTGCCCAGCAGAGAGTTAAAAGCAGCAACCCTGTCCTACACTCCATCATTCAAACTGTGAGTCCACTGATCTGTCATCATCTCTACAGGCAGATAAGTAGAAGTGAAAGACACCTCAGTTTTGCATTGGCTCCTCCTCACTGCACGGACTGAGCTGAAATGAATGTGTACATTGTGTTTGCAATGCATATGCTGAACAACTGTTTTCATAATATACTAATTTCTGTCAGGTACATGAAAAAAAAACAAAAAAACAGCAAACAGAAAAATCAAAAAGGCACTTAATATGCAATTGTTAGGTGTTGTAATGAGTGTCAGAGTTTTCCTAAAAATTGAGATATTGGACTAGCAAGTGTATTAACAGAAATTAGCATAAAAATGATTTTAAAATAAGGGGGAAAATATCTTCCTTGTTGAAGTCCACACAGTGATTTTTACACTGTACTAAAGCAAAAAAAAAGAATCAACAAAAACCCCCACATTGAGCAGCAATGAAACCTCTGTGTAGATAACTAATGAATGAACTCATGGTCTTGGTCTTTTCTAATTACTGTAATTCTAGCAGCCAGCATCTTATCACAATTAAACTCCTCTGATTACTTCATGTCACTGAGAGAATTTATACAACATGTCAGTTATGTTTTAATAATAGGTGAGTTTTTAATCTCCTTGCCCAGAAGAATTTCGAAAGGCAGAGCAGGCCATCTACTAATGAGACACATTTTGGCTTAGGAATGAATGTTTGAATAAAGCATGTTCTATACGTGCACCCTACAGGCTCTAGCATTTATCATAACATGTGAGTTTTCTCTCAATAACCACCTCAGCCAAATTACATTACAAAAAACCCCACAAAATATTTAATAACTCATTTAGAAACTTGGTAAC